CGTATATATAATATTTTTTAATTCCATCAAGTTGAAATTAAATTTCAGTGTTAAGGTAACATTTGGGAAGGCGAGACCGAGGCAGACGACAAGCGACAGACAGCAAGCAGCAAATACTGCCGTGATAAAAATGATATCACCTCTCTTGCACCGGTCACGCTGTCTCAAATGTTTTTCATTGTGTTTAGACGTCTTCGGCCGCCTTACGCTGTCATTCTACGCCTGTCGCCCGTCTCGGTCTAGCGTGCCTAAATAGTACCTTTATTCAAACTTTTTTCTAGACCTCACCATAAGAATTATTCTTCATTACTTATGTGACTTGACATTTTTAAGAGAATCTGATGCATAAAACATCAGACAAAACTTTAATGATCTTGATCAATGTTATAATCTGACAAAATTTAATCACCATAATTTATTGTAGAATAATTCATCAATGAATTACGCATTAACATATCAATGAAGGTGAGACGGTTCCTTGTTTGTAGAATTACGTTTTATTTTTAACAGAGGTCAATTGAATACCGATATTTCGTGGTATTGTATAATATTGTTTGTTTATTTCACTTGGTTTAATTGAAAATTCCCTAACTGGCTAGAGGAAATATTTATGGGAAAATACTTCTAATATTATAAAGTTAACTTTGTTTGTACAAGATTTCCAGAAATAAATAGTTTTTGGCTTGTATGCAAGCTTTACTTGTACATCGCATTTAAAACCGTAGTATTTGGCAGGTCCTTAGATAAATATCGCATAATAATTGAAAAACAGTATGAATTTATTTTTTCATTCTTTCAAAATCAAACTGTAACTTTTTCAGATGTATTAATTCTTAAAGAAAGGCGAGGATCTAATTTTGTAAATAATACACTTTTTAAACTTTATAATTCAAAAATTATAGGTGGGAATCCAAAAATTGCGATTAAAAGCATCATTGTTTCAAGAAAATTACAATCTATACTGTACATTTGTTTTAATTAATGAAAAAGACAAAATTCAAGGTGACCTAATCTTTATTTTTTATTAATTTTTATTATTTGTTTCTCTAATAAATACAGCCGATAAATGTTGCACCTAAATAAATGTATGTATACAGTTTTAGTAAAGCAATAATTATCAAATCGTAATCAGCTTGGGATTTCACAATTGGGGACTCGATAAAATTCAATAAAAGAAGATACGTACTAGGACAATAAAAAGCAAAGGTGGAATTGTATATGACGCAAAAGAAAGGGAATTGCAACATGTACTTGATGAAAGTATCAAAAATACTGTCAGTGACTATGTTCAAGAAAAAACTGGTATTAGTCAATGTTTATTGAAAAAAAAAAAAAAACATTTATATTATAGAAATTTCCAGATGCTAAATTATTACCCCGAGTCCTCAGTTGAGAAATTATCATTTGTGAATGATCCCAAAAATAATGCCTAAAAAAAATGAAAAAGCCAAGCGAGAAAAATATAGTTGCTCTCCCCAAGTGAGAGTACAGAGTACAGAGAGTACCCAAGTTAAGGTTTACGAGATTATAGATGGTCTTGTGAGGAAGGGGACTCAAAATCCCTTTGTGGAACCTAGATCTATATCAGCAGTAGTTAACAAAATATTAGGAGATAATAAAACATAATTTGTCAGTAGAGGAAACGATTTCTTGTGGCTAAGATACTTCTGAGTAACTCTAACTAGAATAATTTCAGCCTGAGCAAGAGAATGCTACAAGCAGTAACGAAGATCCTTTTAGAATATGGTCGACTCAATAAACAATACAAACAGTAAATTTAGACTAGCCGAAGATAGTGAATACAAATTCTGTGGGACAGTCCATTCACTTTCTGATGGAATGTGTAGCACCACAGAAATCAAGGGCACTATGCTTGGAAGCATACCAGATCTATTCAGTTTGGAACCACTCTATATTCTTAAACTTCCTTGGGATATAGAATTAAAGGGACCTTTATAGACATCACGAGATTATTCCCTTATCGTTTTAGCGATCGAAAGTGGCCGAATCTGATACTCAAAAACAACATAACATAAATAACGTTATATTTTCATATATAATATTCCTCTGGGTAAATTATAACAAAAAGGTAAAATTCTTCTCATTATCTCAAAGATAATATTCCTAGTATAAAGATCAGATTTCAGTACAGCTGTTATCACTTGTAAAAAAGACAAAATTGTGAAACTCGGAATTATATTTTACACGAATGGAGAGAAAGAAATGTGGGTTTATCCAAAGCTAAAATATAAAGCTAACTCACTACTTGAAAGTCTCCCTTTCTAATAGAGGATTATTTCTACGTATTTTTATTAGTCGTTTTTTTTTATTTCAAATATGGTTTAAAATAAAATCAATATTTGCAAAACACATAATTACATTCGCATTCCCAAATACGTATTTCAGAAAGTTACCTTTTTCACACTCGTGTTAAAAAGGTTTATTGCAAGAGGAGCACACAATTATTTTAACGAATAAAAAAATACGAAAATTGTGATTTTGTGTAATGGAAAAGGTTATTTTTTCTAAAATATTTAATGTTTTCATTTGCGTGCAGAATCATTATTAATTAAAAAGAAAAAAATTATGAAATGCTTAATGATAAACTTCCCAATTAAAAATATAAGTAATCCATTTAATGCCAGATATTAAAGTAATCAAATGTATATTAAAATAAATTGAAAAAAAAATAATTATGTAACTTTAAGAAGAATTTGATATATTGATAAACTTTTGACCTAACATCCAAATTAACATATATTTTTATTTAATATATATTATTGACAAAAATTAATCAAGTTTATCACAGATTCTGACACTTTATTAAAATAAGAATAATTGCAATAATACAGTCTTGAACAAAAATAGAAGTTAATAAAAAATTTTAATCATAAGAATTGGTTTATAAACTAAAATGGCAAAAGTAGGCTGAAGAAGTGACTAAATGATCAAAAATAAAGTTAAATTTTGATTTTATAATCATTTAGCTTATCAATAGTAAGACGTGATGGTTTTTAAAAATTATTTGAATAATCTGACACACTAGACCAGGGTCAATAATTTTTCAAACAAAAAAAAAATAGTAGGATGAAACCCATTAAAAAAGGACGAGAATATAACAAAAATTAAAGGAAAAATAATTTACGGGCGATCTGAGGTCGGGAAGTGGAAGGGGGTGAGTTTTTAAGGGTAAAAAACGGTGTATCTCGATTTCCGGCAGAACTACAAGTCCTATGAAAAAAAGACAAAGTTGTAGGTAATAAAGAGACCTATAACTTTTGTAATTACACTTTTTTCACATAACCTCAAAATTTATGTGAAAAATTCAAATAATCAAGTTTTTGGTTTTTTATTATCTTATGCAAAAAAGAGTGTTATCGAAATTTGGTGAAAACTTACCCTTTTATGTCCTAAAAATACTGTAATTTTTTTGATTTGAAATATTTATTTTTTCACCTTATTTTGACTTAATATCGAAAAAACACCCTAATTTTCAATCGAAAATTCTCGCGTCAAAATATCAGCTTTTTAAAAAAAGTCGGGTAGTTTTTTGTTCGTTGAAATCTCTTTTTTCTGATAATGTAAAAAAATATATACATAACTATGGTAAATGTTCTCAGAAAATGTAAAGAAAAGAAAAAAACTCGATTCCGAATTTTTTTTTTTTTTTTAATCACTATGTACAATTTTGAGCTATTTAGTAAAATTGACACTTTAATTACTTGAAAAACGTCAGATTCTATGTTATATTGATAAACAAAAAAATTACAAATTCATAAATCATAAAAATTGCAAGAAACATGCGAAAATAGTTGTTCTAAATATTAAAGATAGGATTTAAAGGGGGGATTTCAATTAAAAAATGTGATTGCTGCAATTGTTTTTAGTCAAAAAGTTGATTTATTATATTTTAATTATATTTATGTCATAGAAAATCTCATAATATATGAATAGAAATGTAAATCGTACTATTGAATTTAGATACTTTATACTGATTATTATTATTATTCATAATATTTTAAAATGCATTAATCTTCTTATTTATAAATCTTATCTTAAACCCTAATCACTTATCCATTACTTTTTGTCTCTTCGGTGGCATTTCTTTATCGTTCGACAAACCTTCCCGATTCTAGTAGATCTTCGAAATCTTCAAGACCATCACCGTCCGCGTATCCAATATTATTTTTAATCTGAATTGGTCCTTTATCCACAATTTCATCTGAATCACTAACTTTCTCGTAGGTTTTTTCTTCCACATTGGTGCATTTTTCAGAATCATTACAATTTGAGCATAAATTTGTGCATTTTAAGCCATATTTTCGGCAGCCACATTTTAAACTGTTACATCCAGTTTCACAGCTGCAGCAAATAGTTTTAAGCAATATTTCCGGAATTAACTTCTTCTCTGTAAATTTGGGCATAATCCCACGTTGATGTTGCTTCCAGCCCCAATCTGTTGCTGTCAGTTCGTTACCTAGCCAAGTTTGAAGTTGATAATATGCCCTGTAACAATGTTGTTCTGCTGCACCTTCTGTTGGTGAGAGATTTACCAATATGAAAGATGATTTAATTTTTGTCAATTGATATTTTTGAAATCATAATTGATTCAGTGTTATATTATCATTTTTACATTTATAAATAGATTTGATTAATTGTAATCCATTTTTTCGATATCTTTTTTGTTTGCATTATAAAAAATATTGGCCAAATTTGACACATTTTTATCGTCTAATAATGAATTACAATACTCTTCTTTCCTTTTCCGGCAAATCCAGATGTTGTATCGCAACCAGAAAAACAATGCAGAAATGCAACGATATTTTTGAAGGATTCATATTTGAAACTATTAGACATGAAAAATAGATCTTTTACATTGCCAGAACCTGGTTTGAGAAAATAAATGTCATGATTATTTGAAGTTAATTGATTCAAAAAGACCAAAAGATCAATATCTTGACCCACAACAATGACAGTTTTATTGGTATCTCTGGCAATTTCTATCGAAATTTAATAATGTCTGCATCAGCATCTTCTTCTGCTTGTTTACAGGAAAATTCTTGTGACTGTAATCTTTTCATTAACGCTTTTATTATTTTGTCCTTGTGTTTCTCGTTAGATAAAAATTTTTCTTTCAGAAATGGTATTTTTGTATGGTTTTGATAATCAAACTCTGGAATATTGTCTGACGTTTTTCTACGACTACGTTCTCCTTTTTTAGTTGAAGTAGCTGCTGGTACTGTTGTCACAGTAACTGATTTTTTAATTTCGGGGTACCCATCAAAACCGATATAGCTGCTTGCTGCGTAATGTTTTTCTACATATCGAAAATATTTATTCATTCTTTCTTCCACTGTTTCATTTTTCTGCCAAATTACTTTTTGCAGTAAAAATCCACCGTCGACGACATGCACAATGCCGTCAGAATTCGTTGGTCCATTCGCACTCACAAATAAATCGTAAAGTTGAGATTTAACATTTTTTCTGAGGCCATTTTCTGTAAAAAGTGACAATGGTGCAAGCTCGTATTGTAAATAAGATTCCATATCTTTTTTACTGTCAATTGTTAACGATATTCTTTGGAATAACAATAATGGATCGATTGCTATAATATCTCCGTTTACTTTAACAAAAGATTGAACCGTTTTTAGAGACAAGACTGTAAATTTTACTAAATAGCTCAAAATTGTACATAGTGATTAAAAAAAAAAAAAATCGGTCAAGTTTTTTCTTTTCTTTGCATTTTCTGAGAACATTTACCATAGTAATGTATATGTTTTTTTTATATTATCAGAAAGAATAGATTTCAACGAACAAAAAACTCCCCGACTTTTTTTAAAAAGCTAATATTTTGACGCGAGAATTTTCGATTGAAAATTAGGGTGTTTTTCGATATTAAGTCAAAATAAGGTGAAAAAATAAATATTTCAAATCAAAAAAATTACAGTGTCTTTAGGACATAAAAAGGTAAGTTTTCACCAAATTTCTTAAAAAAAAAAATAAAAACCAGAAACTTGATAATTTGAATTTTTCACATAAATTTTGAGGTTATGTGAAAAAAGTGTAATCACAAAAGTTGTAGGTCTCTTTATTACCTACAACTTTGTCATTTAATTTTTTTACATAGGACTTGTAGTTTTGCCAGAAATCGAGATACACCGTTTTTTACCCTTAAAAACTCACCCCCTTCCACTTCCCGGCCTCAGATTGCCCGTAAATTATTTTTCCTTTCATTTTTGTTATATTCTCGTCCTTTTTTAACGGGTTTTATCCTACGATAATTTTTTTTCACTTTTTACCATTTTCAAAATTATCGACCCTGGTCTACACTTGTTTAGAATGTTCTAATAATATCCAATAGGTTTTTGTTTATTTAGAGCACAAAGTACCGTTTGGGATAAAAGGAGTCAAAGTCAAAGTCAACTTTCCACTTTGGATGATGATTGTAGATAAAAGCTATTTATTAATCACTTATAGTCTAGAAAAGAAAAGAGTGCAGTTATTTAATTTACAGAACTTAGTACAAGTTTAAGAGATAGACATTTGATTTAAACCTCATTCTTCATTGCTTATTTGTAGTTAAAATAAAAATTCATTTGATCAGCCTATTAAAAGTTTTCGTTTAGATTTAATCATTTTTATAAGATTTTTACTGTAATAAAGCTTTTCTTTTGAAGCTTTTCTTTTGACAGATAAGTCAAACTTTATTTATTCATGACCCTCATTGGAAGCACAGATGGATTTTTGTTAGATGGTTTATTAATGTCCGAGTCAAAGAAAACAGAAGACTACCATGAAGAAATGGATGGCCCTATGTTTGAAAATTGGTTTTAGAATATTATTGTTTTTGATAATGCATCTTGAAACTTTGTTGATTTTTATTTTATCTTATATATGACGTCATTGATGTGGGCGTGAAGACTTTATCAATAATTTTTTTAAATAGAAATGTGGTTCATGCGGTACATCATTATCTATCCAACCAGGTCAATATTTTCAAGTATTTGAGGTTTCTAAACAGTCAAAAACGTTTATTAAAATTTTCAAATGGGTATTAATTTCCTTGCTTTTTTTTAATGTTATTTTCAGATTAGATTAGATTAGATTTAAAAGGAAGTCCTTGTCCACCATGGCCATTTCAGATCTATTGTGGGAGTTCGTTCTTATCAAGATCGCTGCTTTAAAATTGTATTTTTGTTAAAATTAAGCTTACTGAAACGAAACGAATTGAAATTCTGAGAATGCTTGGATTGGAAAAATTCAGAAATTAGGCTTAGCTACAAGGTACCAAATAAAGGGGGAGAGCCGGGAGTATTTTTGCTACATACCTATGCCAGGACTTAATTCGAAGTCTTCTTCAGAGTGGTTCCGTGTCGAAACAGCCTATTGGCCTTAATGGTAAGATGACGTCCTGTTATTTTAAACTATACGATCCAAATATCGCTTTTCTGTCCATTTTTGATTATAGCTGTTAATGAGGTTACCTCCAGAGATGTAAGTTGTAACAGGGTGTCTAATGGTAGTATCCAGCAGTACGTTCAACAAAATAATGTACAGAAACACTAAAAGTTCTAATACACGAATGTAAAATAATTAGCGATAGAATAAAAATAAAAAGAAAGGCCTAAAATACAAAATACTAGTTTAGCTATTCCATTGAATATCAAGAAAAGCAAATAAGTGATGATTGAGAGAGTACGTTACTTGAAGTTGAAATGGCAGTCCTATTTAATTGAAACTCAGATCTCTTTCTTAATTTATCAACAAATAAAATAAATAAAACGATTTTCAATAAACCTCTTTTCTAGCACATAAATCCTTTTAAAAAGTTCTTCAAAAGCACATGCTTCTTGAAGTTGTACCAGAAAAATGATGGGGGCGAACAAATTTAAGTGACATCCACAGGAAGTGATATTTAATCATGTCAGGTAAATTAAAATATCTTTAGCCAATTTCTCATAATTACTTACTTAATTCCAAGAATATCCAGATTATCTAGGGTGTTAATTATTTAATATTCAAATTTATAATCGCCTGTCTAAAATGAATGACATAATATCATTATAAATGTATATAAACAAAAGAAACCATTTAAGTAATTTAAAATCATTTGTATTTTAATTTAGACTTCTAGGTCCATTAAAAAGAATATAAGTTGGTTCCTGAGAGAAGTTATTAAACACCCTGTATATTCAAAAATAATTTTAAAATATGTAGTTTAACGCTGTCTACCGTTCTGTGAAAATATTTTTTTATATCTCTAATAATGGCGGAGATATTGGACTTTTTGACACTAATGGAATCACCCTGTATAGATTGGGAGAAGAGCATCAGTCGAATGGCAACCTAGGTCGCCAGATTTAATTCCTCTTAATTAATTTTTATTAGTATATTTAAAAAGTAAATTATACCAAAATAAATCATAAAATTTACTAGTGTCAGGGTTTTTTCGAAAAGTCAAAGTTACGAAATAATGAATGTATTCCTTTTATTTGCATCATACTGTATGTACCATTGAATATAAATAATTTTTTTAGAATTACCTGTATATCATGAATTATTTTATCAAGCCACAAACCATTACTGGATTGTTATTTTTTTCAACAGCTATCACAAAACAATTTCCTAATGTGTATTTTCGAATTAATTTTGACACACCTTCGTTTTAATAGGTTTACTTATTTAATAAATAGGTCAGTGGCAGAAATAATATTTATCTTTGGGATATCGCAATTAATTGGTTTTCTATTAATAAATATATTCCATAGATTATTTTTTGGTCATGACCTTAAATCGTATGAACACGTTTTTCATTTCCTGGATATTCGACAAATATTCAATTATTAAATAGCAGATTGTACAACTTTGATTTTTAAGAGTAACTTCAAATGCATTCCTTGAAAAAATCTGTAGTTGAGATCACAAAACCTGTTTTTCCAATAAATTATATTTCATTTTATAAAGAATATTAATGATTGACAACACGCGATATCAAATATAATGGTGTTAATATACGGAGTGTACAAGAATTTGGTTTACAAGCAATTCGACCACTTTTTGAGATGATACAAAATAATTTTAATAAAACTGATTTAATTTGCATGTAAATACATTTCTAATTACTGCACTCTTAACTTTTTTTGACGCAATGTCAATCTCCGAAATGTTTTAGACACGATATTATTAGGTTAATGTACCAGGGTAAAAAAAAAAAACTGTTTTAACGTCCTATCGTTTCACTAAATCAGATAATGTAATAATTGAGGGGTTTGGAAGAATTTAAATAAACATTCCAGCACTTTTTAGGAACTTTTAAATGTTTTTTAACTTTAAATGCAAATATCTCAGAATAATTTAAAATACACCTTTTATTCTAAGGCCCTCAATTGCTAGTCGTTAGGCGGAAATGTTGTTACACTGACATACATCTGAGCTAATAAACTTATAGTTTATAAAAACAATTTTTTAAGCAGACAAAAAGGTGAGCCTATTAATTAAAAATGTTAATGTTAATAGGTATTAAATACACAACAACTAGAAGTAAACTAATAATAGTATATTATTCAATAAGTGTATATTATCTACAACTGAATACGGGGGCTCACCGAAAACGAAAAGGGGATTTTTAGAAAAAATTCTTTAAAGTTGTTATACATAGAATTGACAATTAAAAGACCTTTCAAATAAGGAGTATTTAAGCCAACGTGTGAAATAAAATGCAAATTTATACAGGAACTCGTTTAAAGTTATGGTATGCAATCTCATAATTTTTCCTCGATATTTCAGGTAATAATTCCAACGACGTCACTTTAGCAGCGTCGTGGATTTCAGGAGGTGTTAGTTCCATGTAATCATCGTCTTCCATTTTTTTTAATTGATAAACACTTAAAACGGGCTTAATATTTAAAGTTTAATTTCAAAAAAGAATCGGGAACAACGAATAACTGTCAACATGCTGTCAACTAACTTGTCAAACGCATACTAGATAATAATTTTTAATTCTAGTGGGGTATAATTAACAAAAATCGTGTAATATGAATATATTCTCACTAGTGAAATATGGATTGCTTTATGTTGCCTTATATACGCATATAATACATCCATTTAATGACAGTTGTAGATAAATTAGTTTTATAGATCCTGAAAATGTATTTTTTTTTTATTTTAAATTAATTTTCATAAAAGTTACACTTTTACTAGTAATAAGAAAAATTTCGTATGCATCTTTGTCTCGAACTGTGATATCGACCTGTAAATTAGACTTACCAGCCTTGGTAAATAAATACTATTTGTTCGATCTAAAAATTTTACTTTCCCTGTTTATTTTAAAATAATATTCTTAATCTTATAAAAAGCTGTATCATTGTTGCCAGTTTGTCAAATCTCTCTTAATTTAAATAGATTATTAATGTTTTGGAAATGTATACTTTTTTTACTTTAAATATTAAGATTATATCCGTAAAATGAGAGCTTTATTTTCTGGATTACCCTGTATATTGTCGTTTCCTTCAATTATTGTTACCTTATGTTAATTATACCTCAGACT